AGTAGAAGGTGTCCCTGCCCATGGCAGGGGGAGTTGTGACTAGATGGTCTTTAAGATCTGTTCAAAACCCTTCACATTTTACTCTTCTATGATTTTTCTCTCCAGCTACTTAATGCAATCCAGCTCTTTGGAGCTAACCTGGATGACTACCTTCATTTGTTGCTACCTCCCATTGTAAAGCTATTTGATGCCCCAGATGTCCCTGTGGTGGCTCGCAAGTAAGTGCTGGTGGCTTTGCAGTCTCTCTCTTTGCAGTTTTACCTGTGATATCCAAGTTCTGCAGTGGCTGAACGTTTACAGTGAAATACGACTTTTAGTCTCTTCCTCATCTTTTCTGTGTTAAACCATTGTGGAAGGTTATTTTTATTTGGACATCACAGCAATGTTACTAGCTTTTTTGAGTTTGTTGGTAGGTTTTGGTTGGGTGTTTTTGTTTGGTTGGTTTGTTCTTGTTGTTGTTTCTTTGGGGTTTTTAAAATTTTCTGATTTTCACCTGCCAGTATTTTAGTCACTTGTGAACTGACCTGCAAGTAGTAGCTGCATTAACAGAGTTCTGGTGGCCTGTTCTTCCTATTATTATTAATCATAGGAGGACTGAGCACTTAAGTATTTTTCAGCCTTATTTCTTCTTCTTAACACTCTGAGAGATAAGTTCTTCCCTCTTTTTTCTCTTACTTAAGAGCTGCTCTAGAAACAGTGGACCGCTTGACAGAGTCCCTGGATTTCACGGATTATGCATCACGGATTATTCATCCCATCGTACGAACACTAGATCAGAGCCCTGAGCTACGAACAACTGCAATGGACACCCTCTCCTCTCTGGTGTTCCAGCTGGGAAAGAAGGTAATACTGTTCTTTGACTTGAAAGCTCACAGAAGGCATGACTGTCCCAAAGATCAAGGCTTTAAAGTTTAGGTTTTGTAATGTACTCATGGATTTCCAAGGGAACTGATTTTTCTTCTCTTAGTTGTTTCTGGAATTGGGAGTTACTGAAATCAATATTGGTTTCTCATCAATGAAACAAAGTGTTGGAATTTTTACTGCTCTTGGTGCCACTGAGTAACAAGTTTATGATGCATTCCCTTTTACAGTATCAAATTTTTATCCCAATGGTGAACAAAGTCCTGGTGCGACACAGAATTAACCACCAACGCTATGATGTTCTCATCTGCAGAATTGTAAAGGTAAGATGACAAGTATACCGTTGTTTGCATTTTTGGGATGTTGTCATGCTGAAACAGATGTAGCTGGAACCTTCACTTGGATTTACTCTTAAAATGAGGAGTGGTTGTTGCTCTGTTTCTGTGTTAGGCACAGCTTTTTAAGGAGACTTTGAGGTTGAAATGGGAAATCTTTTGTCTGCTGATCATTGCAAATTCTAGGGAAGAACTTAGACTTGTGGCCAGTGTCATTACTGTTCTTTTTCTTGGTAGTTCTTAAATGTGGATTTATCGTATTTTTGCCATGGTTTCAGGACTTGAGGAGATCTTGTTATCTCAGTATTTTCTTTGGAATGGCTTACATTTTAAAAATTTAGTAACTGGTTTACAGTTTGTGTGAAGCAAGCAACTAGCAAGTCAAAAAGGCAAGAGTGCTTGTTTCAATGTACATTATTTTGGCTTTTTATTCTAGGAGCTAAGAGTTATTGACAATTACCTAGAGTAGCAAAGGGATATAGTTTAGAGTTCTCTGGCTTATAAGGTGTAATCATTATAATGAAACATGGTTATTTGCTTCACAGATTTTGCTGTAAGATTTTGTTGCAAGTGCTCTGACTCTTTTGGCTTGTCGAGAATTGCTTCTGTATGTGTGGGTATGATCTTCACTGTAAACCAATTATTGTAGGGTTACACTCTTGCTGATGAAGAGGAGGATCCTCTGATTTATCAGCATCGAATGTTGAGAAGCAGCCAGGGAGAAACTTTGACCCCTGGTCCTGTGGAAACAGGTCCCATGAAGAAATTGCATGTGAGCACCATCAACCTGCAGAAGGTAAGACTGGGGCCTTCACAGCATGAATTTGCTACTGAATGGAGCTAATGTGTCACACTGAAGGAGTTTTGTCTGGTGCATCTGGACCACATTTATTTATATTGCTTTTATGCTGCTTTTCTATTCTGTACAAAACTGAGGTAAAGTAGCATCTGAGACTTTAAAATTAGAAGGTGCTGAACAACTTTAAAGATAGAAGACATTGAACTATTAGACTATTAATGGCTGTGAAGTAGTCTTTACACTTGCTTGTTGTGTTAAGTATGAACAGGACTTTCTAAATCACAATGAATAATCTCTTGCTATTAGAGACATCAATTTCAGAGCCTCTGCCTTTTTTCATATTTTTGCTTTTGCTCCTCTTGTACCTTAGTTTTATACTTTCTTGAAGGCAGAACTTAGTAGCTAAGCACTGGGTAGTTTGAACAGTACATGCATGCAGTACACAGTTCAGTAATGGGATGGATTAGTTTGAAAATGCTAGACTTAAAAATGTAATTCTAAATGCATTAAGTATTTTTAAGCTGATGTTTCAACAGTGGCTTCAGCTCTACGTGTATTTTTGTAGAGAAACAATTGTTCATGTTAAATACTTGCCATGTCATGACAGGAATACATTTAGGGAAAATTTCTTAGACATGAGACTTAAGTAGTGCAGATTATCTCTAAAGGTAATGGATTGCAGGAAATTGAAAAGGAATTCTTAGCGTGTGGTTTGGAGCTGTAAAGAAGTAATGCTGCCTGTTGATGGATTTCTTCTGCTCTTGGGCAGTGCTGTGTTTGGTAGGTGAATTGTCTTCCTTTGTACTGCAGGCCTGGGGAGCAGCAAGAAGAGTTTCCAAAGATGACTGGTTGGAATGGTTAAGGAGACTGAGTTTGGAGCTGCTGAAAGATTCCTCCTCACCATCCCTGCGCTCGTGTTGGGCCCTGGCTCAGGCCTATAATCCCATGGCTCGGTATAGTATTTCTGGATTTTTATCTCACTTGAAATGGCAGATGGAAGCCAGATATTATAAGGAAAAAAGAAGGTTATTTAGAAGCTATTATGTTTCATAAATAAAATTCATGCTTTGGCACAAATCGAAGAGCCAGCAGCTTGATTTAATTTCCACCTTTCCTAGTTGGCCGCTCCATGATGTGCACAAAATCTTTCATTAAAATTCTGCATATTAGTCCAGAAATAAGATAAGGCACATAAGTGAGGCTGGAAAAACAGCAGATTATGAAATAGTTTTGAGTACTTACTTTGGGGAATAAAAATGCCTCTGAGTGGAATAAACTGCAGTGCTTTTTTACAACCAGCATGTTTGGAGAAACTTTGATAGCATATGATGGCAGAATATTTCTATTATTGTAGTATACCGGCCTACTCTGCACTTTTTAAATGAAGGTTTCACAGAAGTTAGCTTTATAAGAATAATCAGTACTTATTGCAGGTAGGCAAGTCAGTGTATTTTTTAGCTCTCTTTCTCTGAATAAGAAGGTGAGCCCACTGTCACACAGACTTTTTCTCGTTAATCCCCACCTCACACTGTCTTTTGTGTTCCTCCCCAGAGACCTCTTCAATGCTGCTTTTGTTTCATGCTGGTCTGAACTGAATGAAGACCAGCAGGATGAGCTGATCCGAAGCATTGAGTTGGCCTTGACTTCTCAGGATATTGCAGAAGTCACTCAGACTCTGCTGAACTTGGCAGAATTCATGGAGCACAGTGACAAGGTAGAGATGCTGTTGGGCAGCTCCTTCTGGTGCTAGCTGCTGCCTGCTCTGTGTGGAGTTCATGACTGCTTTGTAACACTCATCGTGCTTTTGATGTGTGTGCTCCTTCCCAGGGCCCACTGCCTTTGAGAGATGACAATGGCATTGTCCTTCTGGGGGAAAGAGCTGCCAAATGTCGAGCATATGCTAAAGCCCTTCACTACAAAGAGCTGGAATTTCAAAAGGGTCCCACCCCAGCTATTCTAGAGTCTCTCATCAGGTAGGACCACAACTGGTGAGATTTCTACTCTTGCAGTAGCTGCAATTTATGATACCACTAGGATTAATCTTGGCAATTCTTAGGATTTCACTCTGTCACAAGATGTTGTTAAACTACTTGCAAACGTGCAGTTTTAACTGCTGAGTTGTGTCCTTCTACTGTGTGGTTAAAACTATGATAGAAACCCAGAGAAGTTCTGCAGGAAGAAGTGCAAGAAAAGGTTCTGATTTCCCCCTCTCACCCTTCAAGTTCACTATGGAATATCATGAAATCTGTGCAGGTTAAATGAGACAGATTTCTTCACCTGCATGTAAATAAGTCAGAAGACTTTAAGTTCTTAATTAAAATTTCTCACCACATTCTGCTGATTGTCTCATTGTTCATATGTCAAATAGAAGATATTATAAAGTATGTTTTGTTTCTGAGCTTTGTCAGTAACACAGATGTTAGCCTGAAATACCTGCACAGGATCTGGTTCTAAACTACAGGTTTTAAAATGTGAATCTCTGTTCCATATCACAGAAATGTTAGCTCAGCTATTTGACATGAACAAAATTATTTTGGTTGAGCAAAAACTTAACTTTTTTATACAGTGAATTTTCACCCTCCTACTTCCTTGGAATTATGTTTTCCGATTTTTTTTTTCCCCCTCTTTTATTTTTCCACCCTTTGTTCTGCCTGATGTTATTGAGGAACGTACAGAATTCAGTGTATTTTTTTCTTGGTCTCAGTTGCTCACGCAGGTTTTTTTTCGTGTATCAAAAAGCAAGTTAAGGAGCAAAGAATTGATGTAAAGCACACTTAAAAATGAAACAATTTATTAGAAATGAAAAAGTTTTAGAAACTTTTAAAAAGACCACAGTTAAAATAGTTCCAACTATAGTTCCACACAGTTGAAATTTGCAGTAGGAATATTTGAACATATGTAAATTCCCAAGACAGCTTTATCTTCCATTTCACACAGGACTGAACAACCTAATCTAGATTCAAACTCTCTTCAAGGTGAATAAAAATAGATACATTAATGATAACAATCTTTTCCAACATATTCGAACAATGGTAGGGTTATAGGAGTCGTCTCATTCTTTTTTAACTGTTAACTTTAACACTGTGTTATGTGAGGGAGAAGTGTACTATTTCTGACAGTCTGTCTCTAGGTAACTTCCAGCTGGGCTAGTTTTCAAAAGAGTTTTTGGTACTCCTCAGTCTGCTGTGCTAGCAAACATTCCCTTATGTTGAAATAACTTTTGGCACTTGGGAATTCTCTCGTGTGTACTAGTGTTCTGCTCATGAATGCAGTGGTCTTAAGTGTTGGAGTTGAGTTCTTTGGCTGGGTCTGGACTTTTTGGTTAACCTGCTGTTCATTCTCAGCCTTACTGACATACAGCATGTTTGTGTTCTGAAACTAATTTGAACCTAACCTGAACGTAATTTGGGGACAGCCCAGAAAGTTGCTTTTCTGGTTTATCAACATTTAGGTGATCTGGGTGGGTAGAAGTAAACATGGAGGGCCCATGGGACAAATCCTCCTCCAGCATTACTATCTGTTAGGGCAGCCTTCAGTGGGGATTATTTGAGGCAGCAGCAGGAGGTGGCAGTAAAACTTCAGGGCACAATCTGCACAATGCTAATTTAACACAACACTTTTGAGCTTGGTTTTTTCTTCTGTGGGAAAGTAAGCCACTTACTATACACTAAAGAAAGGTGCATCAGGGACACTTCTGATTGATTCCTCTGGATTGAAATGAGTCTATAACTTTTGTGGTTTGAGTACTTCTTGAAAGGAGTTGCTTAGCAGTGCTTGCTCCAGACACTGAAGGAAAGGAAGCCAAGAGGCTTTTGCTTTTCAGTCTCTGCCTATCTGGTTAATAATACTAAGGCACTACCAGTAATCACACTGCTAGTGAAAACACACCCTTAGGTTTTCTGAAGGTGCTATAAGTGCATTCAGTTCTAACCTACTCTAACACAATATTTTTCCCTTTGGAAAGAGCCTGAAGAGGAGGAAACAAGCCTGAGCCCTGACAATACTGGTGGCTGTCACTGATGTCACAGTTGTGTACATCACCAGTACACAGCTGTTGCATGTATTGGATGAAATGAAAAATTATTTGGCTGTTCATTGCCCACCTTTTGCGTGGTGCCATCATGTAGCTGTGCAATCCAATGCTGATTCCTTCCTTCTATGGTTTGAAATCCTCTGGCCTGATCTTCATCTCCACTCTCTTGAGTGAGTAGGTGGAGCCGTGCCAGCCGTACCAGGTGATGCCATCCATGCTCTTGGTGTGCTCTCCTTTGCGGTAATAAACCCCATTCAGGTTGGAATCTGTGCAGCAGTTGTACCAATATCCACCTTGTCAGGAGACAAATTGATACATTCCTGGTGAATCATTTGTATTAATCATTACTGCTTTTTTCCAGAATGCTTTTAGTCCCTGGAGCTTATGGCTTTGATAGCTGAGGTTGCAGGTAAATTAAACATAACATAGATATTTAGGAACTTAAAGGCATTACAGCTCTATAGTCAAATTAGCCCAGTAGCTTTTCATTTAGTGGCTCATTCCTCTTAGAATATTTCCTTGACATGTTTCTGACTCAGTGAATTAGCATAGGAAATGAATCTGGGTAATTTTCTAGAGCATCTTAAGGGGTTTAAAAAGTTCCTGAGCTCTCTGAGTATTTATTGAGACTGAGATCAGCAGTTTTTATGTGTTGTGTGGGACATAATGGGGAAATTAAAGAGCAAAATGTAATGAAGATCGTTATCTTTGACAGAACTCAAAGATGCTAAATTAAATGAAGAGAGTAACCTCATTAGAGGCTTGTAATAGGGTAGGAATAAAGATCACAAGTCAAGCTGAATATGGAGGTGAATACAGCAGAAGAATTACAGGTGCCTAATACTAGGACTTGAAAGCTTACAAAAATATAAGAAAAAAAAAAGAACCTGATAGATATTAAGGAATAACTTCCTATATCACTATATTGTATCAGCATGTGAGATAGTCTGGCAGATAGTATTATGGGCTGGGTAGGTCACACACAGTTATTTAAGAGTGCTGATATCTGTAACACACAGTCTGGCTCTTTGTAAATCAGCTTTAACTGCCAGATTTCCCCTATAAGTGTATTTTCCAGAGTTGGTCAGCTGTCCCTTGATCTGCCATTCAGATGTTACTGGCTGCATGGGGACAGGGAACGCTGGGCTCTCTGGGGACAGGAGGCTTTGGGTGTTTCACCTTTCCGGAACTGGGCACAGTCATCCACACACTTGTCGTTGTCCTTGTCCTTTGTGCTGAAGGCCGTGTTGTTGTGGTAGCGCAGCGAGTCCCGGCCCGTGTTGCCGCTGTAGTTGCCCACAAAGAGCCGGTAGCTGTTGATTTCATTGCTCAGGGTGAACTGCCTGTACTGGGCATAGCGGCTGTTACCTTCCCAGTCCTGCACAGAACAGGGGAGAAGAAATCTGCCCGATTAGCTTTGGAAAAAACTCCCAACATCCATGGTTATATACAGACATTTTTACTGTCTCAGACTGTAGAAACTGCTCTGTTAAGGCAAAGGAACTTCCAAGTCTTATCTGCACTGGTATCGTACAATGTGTAGGAAACTGGATGTGCAGCTCTTGCATTCAGTATCCTTGTGTCAGTGTGCTGCCTCTAGTAATTTTTTTCCTCTCTGAAACAGTGACTTTTAGATATTAAGCCTTTCAGAGTATACATATCCCATCCTTCAAAGCTATTGTACCAACTATAAACTAGTCTAAGTCAAACTCAAGCCTTTAACAGACTGGAGACATTGAGGGTAATACAATGCAAACTCTTGTACCCAGGCTGGAAGGAAGTGCTGCAAAATGAAAAGACTCAGAGGCTTGCAAACTTTATGGGATGTCTCTTTTTGAATTTTTAAATCTGTGATGATCAGCAGTTTGATCTGTCTGCAGTGGCTTCTGCAGGATTTCCAAGAATCCCCTGCATTCTGAAGACACAATGTGTGTGCAGACAGAAGGTTGTGCCACTGACTTGGTGCAAGGGAGAACATTCTTCTGTCTTGTGTTTGAATGTGTTCCCAGGTTGATCCTACTTCCTTCTCACATAATTAAAGCATGCAAATTCTTTGGGCCTCCTATTGAGATAGGAGATGGTATCTGGTGCTGGGGAATCTGAACCAAAATTAAGAGCTTATTAATTACCTCCAACTCTACTCGCAGCACAGTGGGGCGTCTTGACAGTCGGTAGATATTTTCATTTCCCAGCCAAAAATCCCCCCTAATATTGCCAAATCCTTCCCTGTATTGTTTCCAGTCCCTATTGAACGATGTCAAACCAACTTTACGTCTCTGGATGACAGTCCAGCCACCTCCATCTGTCTCCATGTCACAGAACACCTGGAACAGGAAAAAAAGGCAGTGGTTTCTTGTCAGGAGACCTAGAAAAGTTCAGTTCTCTTAATACAAGCCATTGTTCCAAGATTTCACAACATGAACAAATTTCTATGGCAAAAAACTTATTAGAGAACCTTTTTTCTCTTTTGTCTCTTAAATTGTACACTCTTTCCATCCTTGAAGTTTGCTTACATAAAGATGCTGATGGCGAGTGCAGGGTACCAAAACTTAGTGTGTGCTCTTTTCATCTCTGTAGAGAAGTATTTCTTCATTATATTTTAAAAGACATTGTGTACTAAATATTCTTACCTCCAGATCTGGAATTCCCAAAAATTCATCAGGAGGTAGTTTGTAAACCCCAGAAATTCGGTAGTTCCTCTGGTAAAGTGATGAGCAGTCATAAACAGCATCTACTTGAATCAGAACCAGAAAGTGAGAATCCCAGCAGCAAGAACTCCTCTTTTGTGAAGGTGCTTTTTGCAAAGTTTAGTTTGTAGTACAAGGGGTAATGAGGCTTTCCACAAGTCTAACGTTTTCCAGAAATGGCTTAGTTTTGAATAGTGTATGCATTTGCAAAAGGTGTTGTAACACTGAGATTTTATTAATTATTTTAATTTTTTTTTAACCTCTGCTATGCAAAAAGACATCTCTGCTTTCTTGTCCCATTGCCACTGTGTGTCTGTGCTGGAAAGTATAGTTGTATACTTTGTATCCAGAATATTTGCTGGAAAGTATAAAAATATAATATATGAAATTTGCTGACCCCCTCCTAAGTAATAAAGACTCATCCAGGGGGATGGCCAGGCCTGCTGCCAGGTGTCTGTTTTGATTTTGTGAACAGGTTGGCCAAGTTTGTGGATGAGGGATATTTATTTGTTCAGCCCTTTCTGCACTGTCTGTGACAGAGAAGGTGCCTTTTAGCTGCAGTGAGTCAGTCTGTGAAAACCTCTTTTCCTGAAGATGGTAAAATGCACAGCTATTCTGAGGAGGATAAATGAGCTGGAGCAAGGCTTTATAATGTCTGACAGTTTTAAAAAATGTCTCTTATCTGGAGAGGTGAGACCCATCTGTCTTAAATACCTTCTGGGCCAGTTTGTGCTGTGTGTAACTGTTTTTTCTCCAGCTTCAAAGAGACTTGTTGTGGTGTAACTGTTTGTTTAGGCCTACTGTAAATAGTGATGTGTCAAAACTAAGCAGGTGGAACTATTTTAGAGGAAGAATTAAGTAAATAGATTTAGAAGTTTTCCTTAATTTTAAACATCTAAATGAAGTTTTTTGGCAAACAAAGTTGAGACTGCTCTCTGCAGTGAATTTCATTTGAAAAGTCAACAAACAGGATGCTTTCTTCTAGAAGTGCCTTTACAGGTAGCTGACCTAAAAATGCACCTGCATTCCACATTTAGTACAGGCCTGTGCAATCACTGTGTGCAGTGAAATTTTCCCTCAGGGAAGAGAATTTTAAAGAATTTAACTGTGGTTTGGCTAGGTATTTATCACAGTTTGTATCTTGTATTATCTACAGCTTTGAGTTTTTAAGAATTATCATGCAAAAATAACAGATCACTCTTTTTTACTTTGGTTCAGACATAGTCATAATGATATAATTACAAATCTTTAATAATTCCTGGAGAGCATTTCTAATTGTTCTTACAATTTCTAGTCTTCTGTCAGCACTGTGAGCTCAGAGGTTATTACTGCCAGAGCCATTCTCATACCAAGCCAGCTCCCATTCTTTTAGGATTGGTACTGTAGTGCTCAGAAAATTAAATATTAGGCTGAATTCCTCACTGTAGAAACTTAGTAACTGTTCAGTTTCTGCACTCTTTAAAAACAGACATAGATATAAAACACAGATGGAGAAATTCAAACTAGTTTTCTCAGGCTCACTGCCTAAGCAGCAGTACTCGGTGTGCATGCTACCACATTAGCAGGACATGCTAGCACTAGGAGCTGGTCATTAACTGTGCCCTGAGAGGTGAATGTGGGAGCTTGGTGACTCCCTCCTTACCAGCTGATGTTTGTGTGACCGTCTGAGCTGCCTGCAGCTGCATGATGTCGATCTGGTTGTTCATTTCCGAGTATTTGCTCTCGGCGTCGATGAGGCGCGACTCCATCTGCTTGGTGCTCCCTTCCAGCTCCATCACCTGCATCACCACGTTCACCCAGTCCCCTTCCTGCTTCTTGCTCAGCTCCTGCAGCATTCTGCTCAGGTTGGCCACCTGCAGCTTGAGCTCGCTGATGTCCTCACAGCAGCCTGCCATCCTGGACTGTGCATTCCCATTGATCGTTCTCCTCTTGGGAGGTTTCTGCAGCAGGGCTGGGTAAATCACCACGGACACAGTGACAATGCAGAGCCACGCCAGCTGAACCCTGGGTCTTAGTGGCATTTTTGCTTACAGCAACAGAAACCTTCCAGCTGACTGCAGTAGTCTGAGTGCAGCTGGGATAGGTATAAAATTTCTTGCAGCAGCCTGGTACCTTCCTTGCTTCCAATGAAGTGAGTCTCTGAAGGTGGAGCCTGAAGAAGTGGCTTTTTTTCAGACCCCTCCTGTCGGAGCCTATGACTTTGGAAGTCTGTCTCAAAGCATCTTATATACTATTTTTCTGTTTACCTCCACCCCCCTGAAACTATGAAGAGCTTGCTGGCCCCTCCCAGTTCATCTGTTCATATCAGGTGTTTACAGGGTGAAATTGGAACAGGTTTCAGCCAAGAAAGGTTGGGGAGAGCAGGAGACTTTCCTCAGTTCTGTCTTGAAGGGGTGTAGGAGAGGGCTAGGAAATGAGGAGAATTTCCAGCAATTATTGCCTATTGGATTGGAGCCCTCTTGGTGACTAGTTCTGGCACTTAAATAGCATGAGAGCATTAGAGATCCAGAATGTGAAAAGGCTGTTCAAAATGGGTGAGTTTACAGAAGTTAAAGAAAGGTAACTCCCTGGAAGGTAGCCCTGGCTACAAGTCCTACTACAGCCCCAGAAGTTATAGGGGGTAACTCTGTGATTACACTATTTCTTAATTTAGGCAGTGTTTTAGCAAATAAATTAGTTAAGCATCTAATCCTCTTCTCTCTGGAGACTGGTGTCTCTACTATTAATGTTGTAAAATCCACTGCTGTTCTTTTACAAGTGGGATATCTGAGGCTGGGATGAAATGAAATCTGTTTATTCATAGTGGACAAGTGAAAGGACATTAGGTAATGGTGAGTCTATGTAAAATTGATACAGGGTGGTTGTTTTTACAGGCAATGTGATCTAACTCCAGTGTTAGGGAGGCCAGTTTATTAATAGGATTTTGACAGGAAAATCTATGGTTAATTAAAACATCCACAGTTATATAAAAAGTAGATTTTAGAGTAAATCTTCAGTTTTTAGACAATCAGAGTATTAGTCCAGTCTCAGCTGGCTGAGATGGCAACTTCCTCTCCTCTTTATCTTTTTATTTCAGAATTTTATTATAGCAGTTTGATCTCCAAACAAAACCATTTCAGCAAAGGTGCAGCCTTTTGCAAAAGGTCTGCAGGCTTGCTTCTGGATCCTTCAGGATAAGTTGTTTCTCCTCAGGCCTAATTGCCTAACATGTGGGTTCTTGCATCTTCCTGCAAAATTTCTGATTATGATAATGGGCAGAAATAAGATGAAATAAAGGATTAAGTGCCTCATGTATCTTCTCCTTGCATAAAGGCTGGGAAAGCTTCTTGATGTCCAAGGAAACAAAAGAGAGCTAATCTTGCACCTCTTACAAAGGACATTAGGACAAACCCACCTGACACATGCTATCCCATCTTGGCTTCTTTTGCTGATCCAAAGTGGCTGCAGGATTTCTGCTTGATTAGGAACCATCAGAAAAGCCTTACTGACCTGACATTTGCTTTTAAAGAAATAGAAAGCACAATTGCTTGTTGATGCAGCTTCTCTCCCTTCTCAGCTCTGATACACTTGTTGCTTGATGCTTTGTTACTGCCTCTCATTTGCACTGGGGCTGGCTAATAGTTTTTCTCCAAAACAGACCCACAAGAGTGTGAAGATTTTGGGAGATGAAGTCATCAAAGCACTGCAGGAGTGGAATATGATTACAGGTGTCTTGTAAACGTGTATTTTCACAGAGAAGGAAGAGGGAATCTTTAGGAGGAGGTCAGAATTAGAGCTCTCCAAACAAGTTGTCTTGTGGGTGACTGACTGCCTGTGTGCTGTGCTCAAGAGAAAACCACTGGGTCTGTCGTGTCAGCTGGCAAGGCCACTGTGTGGGATTGGTGAGCTGAGATATTGCCAGAGATAGGCAAGTACAATTTGTTTAAAGCATGGAAGGTACCTCCATAGCAGACCATAGGCTTCAGTCAATTTTTGTCATGGACATTCCAGAAACCTTCCATAGCAAAATTGCTTTTTATACTTCAGACCAGAAAGTGCCACTGCACACAGATGAAAGCCTGACCTTTTTGTTCTGTTCTAATCCTGTCTGAGCCCTCTTCCAGCTGGAGCTTCTGTCATTCCCAGGGGCAAATTCTTCACTGGCTTCCTGTGATGAGAAACATGTTTTTGTCAAAGTTGGAACAGAGACTAGGACAGGCCAGACTCTGCTTCTCTGCCCCAAAAAGCCACCCTGCTAACACCCCCATTGTGTTACACAGGACTTCATTCTGCTGCTGCTCCCACTCACCATAACTCTCTGTCTTGGACAGATGTAGAAGAGGGGAGCCACTTGTTGGTCCATGCATTCCCTCTTTATACAAATTTTGAAAGGATCCAAGATTCAATTGAACACTCATGTTACAAAACACCACAAAAAGGCTTCCAAATCCCTTCTCTAAACTGGACTATTTAATTGGAAGTGAGACAGCCAGGGTTTTATTTTGGATTCAGCTTCTAATTTGTATATCCAAATGCTAACCATCTTTCTTCTGGGTACCTGTTTTAAAAGAGAATACTTTGTTCTGTGTAAGAGGGTGACAACAGACATACTGTGCAGGAATGGAAGAGCACAAGTCTTCCCAACTGTCATTACTTTTGATAAAGTATTAAAAGAGATTTGGGCAGAGACATTCCTTGGCAGAGATATGAGCCTTAGTGGAATTTGACTTCTTTATGAGTATTTGAAAGATGGGTCTTTCCCAGTTTCATGGAGAACTGAATGTGGTCACTGAGGCAGCAGCTGCTACAGATGGTAGGCATTGCCAGGTTAGTCAGAGATGACAAAAGCTATTCTCTGTTCTGTACTGTTCTTATGATTTGAATTCAGGATCCTGGTACATTTTGTAAAGAGGTAAAGTTTGGGGCATAGCTGGGGAGAAATGAGTTCAGTGATGACTGAGTGGATCCTTTCCCCAATACTGATGGAGAAATTGTGCATCATTTGGCCTGAAATCCATCACCCTGGTCTTCCTCCATTATATTTTGTATATGGAAATACTGTGGGACATGATAGCTGAAAAGACAAGATCCTAAAGTCAAGAACATAAGACAAATCCTTTTTTACTTAATTCATGATGTAGTTCTGAGGTGGCTGGGAGAACTGAGGCTAAACATGGTTTCAATTTGTATGTGCCATATGTTTATAATGTTGATTGATGGTACTAAATTCAAATATATTAGTATTATTTGATTAGAACCAGTTATCTCCTGTCCCTGGAGGGCCAGATTAAATTAGAGGTGAGTTTAAATGATTGCCTTCTCTGGGAAGCTGTTCTGGCAGGTGGATGTGAAGCTGAGACAAGAAGAAAAGCTCAGTGCCCCGTGGCTATTTATTTGGTAGCCATTCATTGCAAACCCCTTAATATGCATCTGGCAAATGCTTAGAATCTGAAATTCCTGGTGCTTGCCGAGGTGGCAAAGCTCTCATCAGCTCTCAGCTGGCCCATTGTTGAGTCCACACTGTGTTGGAGCTCTGAAATATTGCTTTTCCCTCCCAGAAAGTGTGAAACTCTTCACCTTTTGCTTTGGAGATGTTCATAAATGCTCCAACATTCACTCTACTACAGCTTTATGGTGAGGATTGTGTTGTAAATCTCTGAAGTTATATGGGACAGGTGGAGCAGGGGAGAGGGCTCCATGAGAAACAAAACACTGCTGCTTCCTGCTGTCATTTGTGATTGCTTTTTTATTTAAGGTGTCCCCTCTTTGCATCACCAATACACAAAGACTGGCTCTTTGTTTCACTTTTTTTTTTACTAAATATCTTGCTTAGCAATTTTTTTCTTCTCTGCTTTCTGGTTAATAAAAAATGGCTGATACAAAACCTTTTGCAGCCTAAGCAGCAGGGCTGGCTAAGAAATTTGTTGTAACATTTTTCACTGATTTTTCTTTCAAAACTGATGAATGTTTTTATTTGATTGGGAATTTGGCCAGTTTTGATGCCTGTGAGCAGGAAGCTGAGGGGGCTGCTCTGGCCTGGAAGCACTCAACAATCACAAATCTTTATTGAAAACAATTCTTTCCTGCTATCAGCTTCTCAAACATATTTGTTCCCGGAATGGGAATAATTTTTAGTGGCATGATGGACATGCATTGGTTTTCTGAGTTGTTTTGGGGACTGTGGATTGTTTTCTGAGATTTCTTGAGTTAAGGACTGGGAGATGCCTGAAGACAAATGAATCACAGAACTGGGGAAAGTGGCCATCAAAGCCAATTCCTTTTGCCAGAGGATTTTCTGTTCCCCCAAGGCTCCACAAAGTAACAATGCCTTCCAATCCCAGAAGCAGCACTCAGCACTTCTTCAGAATGAAAAACAAGCTTGGTTGAGGCTGGTAAATTCTGTCATGTAGAGAATCTTTCTAAACAAACTTGAGGAGACTGGAAAAAAAGAAGAGTTTGTCTACTTGACTAGATTCTGCATACAGGCTGCTTTATTGCAAAAATAAAGTTTCTCTGTTATGTTTTGGAATGCATTCTGGCAGTAGGAAATGTGTGTGTTCCCTCATGGATGAGTTTGGGAGCGCTTGAAAAGGCTCTATTAAAATAAAGGCTTTTCTTTTTATAAATTTTATGAGAAGATGAGGAAAGTCTGGTTGCTTCTGAGGTCTTGAAAATTTAATATATTTTGAGTGACAGAGAATATTGTCAATATCAAAGATAATGGAAGACTGGAAAGCTCCCAGGACTCTATAAAAGAGGGCATTTCTAGTAAACATTACTCATTTATGCCTTGGGTTTGTAGGGGAGAAAAGTTTATCATTTGAGTTCTCTTCCCACTGAAGACAGTAAGGTTGATTTTGATTCCCAATTCATGTCTGGTTTCTGTTTAAATAACCTTTAAAATACAGCTTGTACAGAGGAGTATATTTCTCTTCAATATTGTTCTTTTTTGTGATTCTAGCTCAGTATATGTAAAACCTACAGTTTTGATATCTTAATAATCAAGCAGTAGGTTTATGTAGCTTTTCACTACTAATAAAATTTGAAAATTTGAGACTTCTGATCAAGATTTTTTGTATTAGGAAGTTTGCCAAGGGTAGTCTTTTTGCAGAGATAGAGTGACATAGCAGTTGGAAAATGTTTTTCATCAGAAGGCTTGTTTACATTTTAAT